TGGGGATGGTCGCAGTGTTGTTCCCCTGGGAAAAAACAGTCCCACGGATGCTCCCCAGGAGGCCGTGGCTGAGCCGATTGCTTGCACTCACCAGGTGTGGGTGAGCAGCACCCAGAGGCCCCTCTCCTGCCAGCGGCATTGTATTTAAGGTGTGGGAAGAAAGTGCTGATAATGGGGCAATCCATTTTCCTCCCAACACCTGAGGCAGGTTTGCCCTGAGCCAAGCCCAGGGGCAGGACCTGGGGGGGGGAAACCACCAAGAGCGCTTGCCGAGCCACAGAGCAAGGCATCCCTGCTGCCAAACCCTTCCCCTTCCCAGCGCCTCCCCGCATCCCTGCGGATGCAAAGAGGGTTCACGGTGTGTAGGCTGCAAAACCAATGCCGAGCCAACGCCACCTGGCAGAGCCATGGTTTAGCTGCTCCACCAGCGTGGACGCACTGCTGTGAATGCAGAAGGAACCCAGAAGCACCCCAATGTGCTGGTTTTGGGGGGGCTCTGGGTGGGGAGCTGGGACTGATCACCTTGTGGTAAGATGCTAAGGGCTAGTTTGAGCCACAAACCCCCCACGCAAGGGGCAAGCAAGGACCCAGCCCCACCCAGGATGCTGGAAGAGGGGTTGCGTGGAGCGAGGAGCTGAAAATAAGAGTATGTGAGTTAGATCCTTAAAAAGAAAGCAGCATGGCCAGGCTGAGGAAGGACCCATCGCACTGAGGGTGGCTTTACTGCACACACACAGCCACAAGCATTATCACCCATCAGATCTGCAGGTCTGAAAATAGCTGCCAGTGAGTGAAACCCAACCTGGGGCTCTAATCACCAGTGTCCACGACGTTGGGGGTGGCTGTCCTCTCCTGCCTCCCTCCAGCCATGGGGCAGGGGCCAAGGCCACGAGAGCCTGTTGGTGCAACGTTAGCCCGATGGTGCCAGCACACACAGAGGGACAGCCAGTCCCCAAACTTGGGGCATCCCCCAAGCACCTGTGGCCCCAGGAGCCAGCAAACCATATGCTGCAAAAGCCCCCAGGGATAAAAGAGTTATTTATGGAGCATGATTTTCCAGGAGACCTTCACAATTCCCCTTCTAGAGCTGCACAGCAGGGTATAAACATGGTAGGACCAGTGCAGGAGGAGTCATGTCCCTTTGCCCCAGGCACCCCTCTGCCCCGGCTGTGCGGAGGGTGGTGTGGGCAGAAGGGCTTGCTTTCATGATCAAGGCAAAAAATTGTTTCTGGTTCCACTCACAGCAACCTCGTGCTCCCAGAAAAAACAACCCGTGCAGGCGTGACAGGCGGGCAGGTTCTGCCCAAGTCCAGCTGCCCACAGCCAGGAGAGCTCAGGATGGTGCCCTCACCCTGCCCATCAGTGGGGGGCTGGAGGGGACTGGGGGGAGCAGCGCCCAGCTGAGCTCCCCCCACAGGGGCTGCTGGCAGAAGAGGAAGCGAGGAGAGGCCGAAGGCTCACCCATGGCACTGGCAGTGATGCTTATATGCTTCTCTCCATCAGCTGCAAATGGGGATGTGGAGCCTGCAGGTACTGCAGAGCATCCCTACCCCGTTGCTGTTCCTAGGATGGGGGGCACAGTGTCTTCCTTGTGCCCTCCCGAGACCCACAGTGGTGCCCAGCACCTCACAAACAAGGTGAGCCAATCCCCCGGTGTGGGTAACCTCTCCTCCCGCTCTCAGTGCTGGCAGCACAGTGCCCAAATGCCACCTGGCTGAGCACAGCCCTCCAAGTGCCCAGGCAGACCCTGAGTTGCAGATTTATTTTCCGAGGAGACCTTCAGCACACCCATCTTCACACCACAGGGACCTTGCAGCACACCCAACAATAAGGCAGTGCCCTGACCCCCCACCCCAGTCCAGGGCTTGCTGTACAGACACAGAAAGCCACCCTGTCCCAACAAAACACCAAATAAATAAATAGCTGCAAGGCACAGGAAAACCTTCAGCCAGTTTTTCTACCTGGTGCTGCCGAGGGCACGGCTCGGCTCTTTGAGCCTCAGAAGAAGATGCAGGTGCAAAGTTTAGGGCAACAAGCTGGGGATTCAAAATCACTGCTCCTTCCCAGGGCTGCCTGGAGGGAAGGGTCCTGCGCTGGGAGCCAAGTGGGAGCTCATGTAATGTCTCCAGGCACAGGACAAGGCAGCCGGGGGTCAGGTTTCTGTTCTGGAGGGCAGCATAAAAATAGAGGTGAGGAAAGAGAATCTGCTGAGCAATGGGAGAACAGGCTCCTGGGGACCTCAGCTGAGGGTCAGGACAGCCCCTTCCCCAGCTGCTGGGCAGGGGAGGATGAAACCTCCATGGTGCAAGCTGGGCAGTTCCCTTATATGCCCCAGCTTGCATTAATCCCACTAACATGCTACATCTTTCTGCAAAGCAGGATCAGCTCTGCTCCAGCTCAAAACAACAATCCTGTGAAAGAGCGGGTGGCCAAGACAGAAGCCGCCAATTAGCCCGTGCACCGTCAGCCACAGTCCTGGGGCTCCCCACAGCCCCCACCGTTCTCTCCAGGACATCCCTGGTGGAGAAGGCTTGGGCTGTCCCAGCGTGTCCTGCTCCTGGGGCAGGACAGGCCTTGACGAGCTAATCAAGCCTTAACGAAGAGCTGGAGCTGTGCTTTATCCCCCAGCCTGTGCTCACACACAAATCACCCAGGCAGGACCCCCCCCCCATATTCCCTGCTGGGGTGGCTGCAGGCAGCTCAGCTCCCCCCTGGCCCCCCCAAGAAGGGACTAGCCCTGTGTTCCAGCACCGAGGGCTCATTGAGGCTCCTGAGAAAGCCCAGACGAGCCTGGGGAGGAAAAATAAATTACAGCAACCGAACAATACCCCATTGTCAGGCCCTGCCACAACCCCAGCCCATGCCAGGGCTGTGCCTGGCCCAGGGAGGACCGGCACCAGCAGGATGGTCCTGGCCCGGCTCAGCGATGCAGAACCCCTGCCACCCCCATCCTGGCTCTGGCTGCAGCACGAGCGTTGTGTTAATCTGCAGAAGTTTTCCTGCTCTGCAAACTCTCCGCAGCCCTGACCCTCCCTGAGACCTGCCAGCACTGGGCTGGGACTGGTGAGAGTGGTGGCTGGGGACCACAGCCAGTCCTCACCCTCCGGGCTCGGCTCCTGGCCAGCCTTTTTTGCTCCCATTTCTGCTGATACAAAGCAGAAAGGGGAACCCAAACCTGCCGGCAGCAGACACGGCGCCTGGAGCCACCCCTGCGGTGACAGCGCTGTCCCCACGGTGAGCAGAGGCTTGTGGCCAGTGTCCAGGTCTAACAGCCAGGTGCATCATCTTGGTGCCCATATACCTGATTTTTTAAGCTCGGGTCAATAAAAAGCTTCATCATATGCTTTATTTTGGGGGCAGTCAAGGAAGATATGTGTATATAATAAGGCCCTGTGTGTCCAGGGGGAGGGTGGGTCACCCAAGCAGCACCCTGGGACAAGCAGGCAGGACTAGAGCCGATGTCCTGGGAGTTCAGCTCCTCTTTCACTCCTTGCGTTTATTCTTCTCCTGTGAAATATTAATGGTTCGTGATTCATCAACAGCAAGAAGGAGATTACGGGCACGTGTGCGTATTCATGTGGCTCTCCAACACACACACATACACACGCGTGTATATATGCAGATACGTATTCAGAGGTGCCTCTAATCCACCAATGCCATTGTTAAGGCTGTGTTAGGGATATATTGCACATTTATCCCCGTCCCGGTGCTGGCATCTCATTAGCCACGAGGCAGGAGCAAGCTCAGCATCCCTGTGCTGGGCTCGGCAGGGGCTCGGCGCTGCCGCCGGCGTTTCAGTTAATGGCTCTGTCCGGGGAGTGCTGGAGCCACCAGGGCCCTGGCTGCCCAGTTACACACCAGTGCCAACCAGTTACGCTCCAGACTGCTGGGACCCCTCCAGATTTACACCAGGGGAACCACCAGCAGGGTTTAATCCCCTCTTTATTGCATATATACAAGAGATGGTGACACTATGATGCAGGCAGCGTCCCATTTAGCCTGCAAAGGAATTAGAGGGGTGGCAAGGTCCCCAGCACGGATAGGGCATCAGGTGGCTGCTCTTTTCCCCCAAATCCTCTGTTTCTTTCTCCTCTTGGAGGTCCACGCCTGATCACAGCAGCCCCCTTCCATCCTTCCCAGGAAAATCCCCCCATCCAGCCCTGTCACTGCTCCCCACCCAGGATGTGCCTGGTCTAATTGCTTACCGGCTCCTGCAGGCTTCGAAAGATGAAAAGCCCTCGACAGGAGAAGTGTTGAGTGTTCATGGTTTATTAATGGTGAGCCATTATTATTTTACCTTTCAAGCACTCGGGTGATAGCGAGGAGGGAAGGAGAGGGGGGAAGCAACACGAACCTTCTGTGATTTTCTTCTCCATCTCCGACCATCAGGTACTGCCTGTGCCAGCCCTGCAAGCGACCGCCGCCACTGCTTTCCAACGGGCTGTTTCTCAGATTTATGGTGGCCCCCCAGTAAAACAGCATGGGAGAAGCAAACAAACAAAGCAGCAGATGCGAGGAGCCTCCAGCGCTTCATCACCGGGCTCAGCTGTCCCCGCGGGTGTCTGGCTGGGGAGGAGCATCCCCCCAGCACACACCGCACCCCGGCTCCAGCCCCTCCGCCGAGCAGAGCCGTGCGAAGATTTATCTGCTGCCTGCCCCGTAATTTGCCCAACTCTGATGTTTTCGGCTGTCGTGTCTCCCTGTGGCTCCCACCCAAATGTTCACCGTGAATTATCACCCCCAAAGGGCCGGGCTGTGAGCTGACATGCTGGGAGAGAGGAAAAGGGGGTTTTGGCAGCGCCCGGTTTCCCGCCGAGGATCGCTGGACCAGAGCTTGGCACCGAGATGCTCCTGGGGGTCTGATGGAGGAGAGTGGTCCAGACCCCGCCGTGGAAAAATACTCCCACCCCATCCCCAGGATGTGACGCCGCTGCGGAGCAAGGAGAGGGCAGGGAGCGGGCAGCGGCGTGGGGACACGGAGCAGCACAGGGGCGCGATGGTTTTCAAAGTTTTGGTTTTGTTTTTTTTTTTTTTTTATTGGCATAAATAATTCATACACTGTCACCTCACCAAACACTGCACGAGAAACCACGGGAACAAATGGCTATCCATTTCTGCAGGTCACAGAGATTCGCACTCAGTCAGACAGCTGAAATTATAAATACTTTCTTCAAGTGTAGAAAACGTTATAAATGTTACTGTACAAATTTACATCAGGGAGATCCATCGTGCCTTTCTCAGCAATTTTTTTTGTTGGTTTGTGGGTGATTTTTTTTTTGCACCAGAATCAACTGTTCTTTTCCAGTGACGAGAGTTTTCCAACAACGACAACAAAATATATATATATATATTTATGTATATATTTATAAAAAGAAAAGGGAAAGAGGAGAAGGGAAATGAAAGTCAGCTCATTCTGCAACGGTCAGAACTAACACAGAGAAAACAAAGCAGGCCATCGAATTCAGTTTGAAACTGTACAGGATTTAGAGCTTGTTATATATGTATATATCTATATACATACATATAGAGATATGTATATATATTTATATATACCTTATGTACAAGAAAATGTAACAGCGTACTTTACAGGGACCAGAAATTAAAGAAGGCTTTTGCAGCTGACCAAGCTTCCCGAAGGATCACTATTTGCAAAAAAAAAAAAGAAATAATAAATTAAAATAAATTAAAATAAATAAACGGCGAGGAAAGGAGGAAGGCAAGCGAAGGTGCCCAGCAGAGCCCCGGCCACCAGCGGGCTCGGCCCCGGGCTCCCCGCGGCACTTGAGGGGCGCAGACACCGTCTCATGGCACCACCGGCACGTCACCCTTCTCCTTAGTGTGGCCAGAGAGACCACGCCGCAGACCCCAACCCTTCCATAGCATCTAGCAAAGGTTGAGCAGCTCCTTCGCCTCCGAGACATTCTTTTCTGCTACCATCTCTCTTAAATCTTAATCGTCTCAGCTCCTGCCATGGTCGAGTACTGGATGAAAGTCATCAGGGCCTGACTCTGAGCTCATCGTCCCCAGGAGCCACCCAGTCTTGGCTCAGCAAGGATTTGGGTAATCTTGGGGGGAAAGGTGGATAGAAGAAGAAGCAGGGCCGGGGGATATATTTTGGCAGCCCAAGGAGGACATAGTGCTTGGGGGCCGTGCAGCACCACTACTTCCCTCACCGGCAGTGGCTTCACTACCCAGCCCCAAACGCAGTGTTCCCTGTGAGCAGTGAAATGCTGGAAAAAAAAAACAAACCCTCAGGCAGCAGCAAGGTCAGGGACTGGGGAGCTCAGCGAAGAGCCTCGGAGGGCGACCGAAGGGGTGAAGCAGCTGAGAGCTGGAGGACCAGGACAGGAGAGCATCGCTGGGGCTGCTCCGCTGCAAGAGCCCGGGGAGGTACCGCGGGGCTGGGGACGGTTCCCTACATCTCAAGCTGCTGCTCAAAACACCAGTGTGCTAAAACTGGCTCTGCTCTCGCCCAGCGCATCTGGAAGTAACCCCTGTCTCTCCTCTAGCTCGCGCAGCTAAACTGAGCCACCGGATGGATCTTCTCGCTCCTTCGGATCTCCTATTAGAGGGCATTGTGGAGAGCTTCTCCTACATTCTCTCCCTGCTGAAGGGCTGGATATTTTTAAACTGGGGGAAAAAAAAAAAACCTCACAAAGCTGGAGTCAAAAAACAAAGAACAACAACAACAACAACAACAACAAAAAGTAAGATTTGTTGGTTTGGGGTTTTTTTAATAATTAAGACTTTCAAAAATAAGGAGGCATGATGCAAATAACACGGCTGCATAAACAACCGTTGCTGCGCTGAATGGAAGGGAAGGAGCTGCTCTTCTGAGCTAATTTATGATAAATACAGGGCAGCTATTTTTCCATTGATACTATTGTGCAGCGGCTCTGCTCATGGCCTGTCTGAGACGTTACGGTGAGGGAAGCAGCGGGAGAAAGAGGAGGGAGATGAGAGAAGAGTTGGCAAGCTTTGTTGGCTATAGGAGCACTTAGCTCCTTTCAGATGCCCACAGGCCAGGGGAGGAACGCTTGGCCGAGGCCACTGCAGCCAGCTCTGTGCTCCTGGTGAGGACCTGACGCCGTGGGGTAACCAAACCAACGTGCTCATCAGTTCACTTGTTTCCTTGTGTCTCAGCCAACGGCTGGTGAGACCCCGTGGGGGGATATGTCAAAGTGAGACTTCCCAGGCAAATAGAGGGCTTGGGGAACAGAGAGCAAACCCACAGTAAATCTTTCAAGATGGACATTGTACCTTTCACCATAAATCTGAGCAACGTCTATCGGGCTACAGCCCTTTGCCACCCCCCGTGCTGAGCAGCACCCATAGCATCACCTCCTTCATCCTTCCAACACACGCTGCTCACCTAGGAAGTTCACAGCTACTTAGAAACTAATGCCACTGAGCAAGAGGACACCAACTTTCTACTGTGATCACTCCATCTGAACGTGGTTCGGGAACCAGTGATTTCACAGTGAGACCTCCCTGCGCCCCCCCAGCAGTCAAGACCTCCGGCAGCAGGGATGTGCCCCCTCCCACAGACCTCAGGACCACCGCAGGCGAAGGCATTGGTGAAAACTCAGAGAGACTCTGAGGCTTAGTGCAACATTTATGGCACATGTGCGCACATGCGCAGAGGATGGAGAAGGCATGAGGCGGGGGGGGAAGGGCGGGGATGGGGAGGACGGGCAGCAGGGGACATCACTGCTGAGGCCCGGGGTGGGATGAAGAAGGTGGGGAAGGGTGGGGGGGAGGTGTTAGCAAGGGAAGAAGTGGGATGCAGAGGAGGCAGAGGGCAAACATCCATGGAGCGTCCTTCATCACCGGGATGAGGTGATGCTCAGCCACCTACGCTGAGCTCTGCAGCATCACTCCCAGGGGACCACAAACCGCCCGTGCTGTCTGGTGCGGGGGGCAATTAGCACAAACGAGGGCTCATCCTGCTCTCACTTGCTTGTCCCACTTGGCCTCAGCACCAGAGGCAGAAGCAGGTGATCAGCCCCACTTCGTGCAAAACATCTGAGAGCGAGATGCAGCCGCATGGCACAGCAAACGTCTCAAAAGCATCAGCAGGAGACTCATCCAGACTGACCTTCTGCCAGCATGCTTGGAGACCAGATTCACTCCCGCCTCGCTCCTGCCCACCTCAGACTTTATACATATACATGTGTGCAAATTTTAAGAAATAAAAGCACCTTCATACACGCCCCCATGATTGAAGCAACATCTCTTCCTAGCTGCAATTAGGTTTCTAATCTTCATTTACTTATGCTAAAGCAGTTCAAGTGCTGGCAAGGGGGAGTTAGAGGAACAGCAAACAAACCAGGGCTGGTTAGTTTGCAGAGCCTCGTCATGTCTCCAAATTAAAGCTAACTTAGACTACGATTGAATTATTCAGGATGGTTGCTGTCAAGCAATTATGCTCAATAAGGGCCTGAAAACACAATTTACTATCATCTGTCACTTGACAGCTCATCTAATGGACCCACCCGACCTGATGGGGAGAGGGAAATACCAGCACATGGTATTCAGCCGGCAACACCGGCTCTGAGACGCTGCCCAAAGAGGATCTCTTCAGGGAGGTCCGGGATTTGGCTGAGGGAAGATGGAGATGCAAGGGAAAATGGTCCTGGGCATGGCTTCCGAGATGTCCACGGCGGCTCCCGTGCGTGGGGCTGGGGAGGGAGATGCTCTGTACAACCAGAGCCTGTCTGCAACCCCGGCTCTGGCAGCGAGCCCGCGGAAAGCAACGGGAGAGGGGAAGCACTCCAACCCCAGCCACTCCGTTCTGCCTGGCCCCAGAGCATCCCTAGACCCAGGGCTTTGGCAGCACCTTCAGGAATAAGAATCAAACCCAAGAGCAAAGCACCGCCGGGGAGGGGGAGAGGGAAAGGCTCGCTGATTAGATACGCACTGGGACAGACAGCTAAATTAACAGGAATGTAGAGATGCGCTCTGCTGAGAGGGAGACCAGGGGGGGAGCATAAGTGGGCATGGCCAGGAGGTAGAGAAGCCACTTGTGAAAGGTCACTGCTGCCCATGAAGGGGCTGCTGAGGCGTGGGGGAGCAGGACTCCTCCAGTTCCGAATCTGTAGATGCATTTCCCCGCAGGGGGCAGCTAATAGCAGTGGCACTCCCTGGTCCCAGCAGGCTCCAGTGCTAAACTCATGAATCAGCAAGATTTCCCCCTTTTCTTTAAAAAAGAAAAAAAAAAAAAAAAAAACCAAACAAAAAAACCAACAAAACAAACCAGAAATTAAATAAACTCACCAAGAACCAAGAAGCAACCCCTCCCCAGCTGAGCATCATGAGCACTGACCATGCTGATTGGGATCAGAGGCTTTAACCCTGGGGTTAATTTGAAGCCATCTGCCTCGTGGGTTGCCCCTGCTCAGCGGGGAACCGGCCCAGGACCTGACCCCATGTGCACGGAGAGCTGCCCACCGTCCCCATCCCACCGCAGCCGGGCGTCCCCGGGGCTCTCCGAGGCTCGGCCGCCGGCTCAGCTCCTCCAGCCCTTGCAGAGAGGCTTCATGGGGTGAATCGCGGCGGAGGAAGAGGCTCATTCCCATCCTGCTGTCGGCCCGCAGCGCCCGCTGCTCCTCTGTAGCACAGGGTGGGAAGCGGAGAGGAAGAGGAGAACCGCAGGGGGAGGAAGGCACCGTCCCTTAACTCCTCCCGTCACAGCCTGGAAGGGACACAACATGGTGAAATCAGCACTGGGTGCTTCGCCCCACGGCCCTGGGGGGTTTTGCATCTCATTGCCAAAAGCCTCCCCCAGATGGGTTTGCCACGGGGCTGCTCCCAAACGCCACGGCACCGTGGGAAGCCGTGCACTTCTGCGCCTCCCCGCCAGCCCCATTTGGGTCTTCGTGGTGCAGACAGCTCTCCGGTTTAGCATCATCTAGAGGGGAAAGGGCTTCTTGGGCAGCACACACCTCACCCCCATCCCCGTGCGTCCAGGCTCTCCCAGCAGCAGGACCCCCGAGGGGGTTTTGTCCCCTGTCCCCTCCATGCAGGGATGGCAGAGCCCCCGGGTACCGCAGCCGGCTCATCCCTGCGCACGGCCAGGGCTCCTGGGCAAGCAGGGACCCCGCGGGGAAGCCGGGACCTAACATGGGAACAGTGGCTGGATCTGAGTCCCTAAGGAAGGACACAGCTTGGGTGGAAAGCGCGTGGTGAGCCGAAGCATCCTCCCTCTCCCTGTGCTTAGCAAAAGAGGGAGCCTGTAATTAAGAAGAAGCTGCCGGGCAGCCACAGCCCATGGCAGGCAGAGCGTGGCTCGGCGATTGCAAAATCCTTCCCAAACCCAACCAAGCAATTACACAGCTTGCTGCTTTGGGGTTCATCAACCTTCAGCTTTCCTTGCCCAGCTGCTGGAGCCACCCTGGTGCTTGCTCGGAGCGTGGATTGGTAATTAACTTCCCTTCTGATTAACAGCTTACGTTCTGGGTGATTTGGGGGCCATCTGACCGCTGGCTTTGTGCTGTTCCTGGGAGCCCCTCATCAGCCCTGAGCACACAGGGGCAGGAGGTGGCACAGGGGACACTCCAGCAGCTTTTGCTACACCCGTAACCTTGGGGCTGCCTATGCTTGCCACACAGATAAGGAAGCGAGGAGGTTTGTTATCAGATGCAGGAGGAAAAATCAGCATCTCAGCCTTGCTGGGGTTCAGGAGGGATGCTTGAAGTAGTCTGAAGTGGCCTTGCTTCTCTCCCTTAGCTCATCTCTCCCATCCCCAGTTTCCAGCCTCCACAGTCCGGGGTTGCATGCTGGGAGAAGGAAAAATCTCCCCCATGCATGCAACCTCCACATGGGTTAGGATTTTGGTCCTATTTGTCATAATATGACAAATTCAAGGGAAGAAAATTAGTTTCTAAGTGATTCTTCTGCATTTTTCCTGCTGTTACCAACAGGCCAGATCCTGAAACCCTGGCTGGGGACCCATTTATGCAGTGTTTGCTGAAGCAGGGAGATGTGACTAAGCCAAAGCAATGAAACGGAGCAGGACTTGGCCACGGGCTGTCTGTGGGGGAAGAAGAGACCTTCCATCCTCCCACCGCTGGAAGCTGGGATGCCTGACACAGGCTGCAGGGCTGGGGAGGGACCCCGTGCAGGACATCCCCCGCATCAATTCATCTGATCAAAAGAAGGAAAAAACACCTTCCCAGAAGGGAAAAACAGCTCTGAGCATGGTGCACGGGCAGGCACAGGAGCCCTGGCTGATGTCCCCAAGGTCCTGTCTCCAGCCTGCCACTGGACCTACCCTGCTTCTTCCTCCCAGCATTGGTAGAGCACATCACCAGGCTCCTCCTGATCATCTCCAAGTACTTTCACGGGTTTTTTTCACCCTAGTGAAGACAGCCAGCACTGCAGTGACAGCTGGCATGGGTACAGCACTCCGTGGCCACCCTTCCTACCCACCCTTGCTCGCCCAGGTGGCATCAAATGTACCCACAGCTTGTCCCTGGGCTCCCCCAGTGCCACCACCAGCAGTTACCGGTGAGAGCAGAGTCTCTGGGAGTGCAGGCAGAGCTGCCTGCTGTCAGGGAGAGGGATAGGCAGGGGCAGGGACTTACTCTGCCGACTTCCAGAAGTGCCCGGGGTGGGAAAGGCGACGATTGCGCTTTGGCAGTTTCTCCAGCATGTCCATGAGCTTGGTGAAGGTGGGTCTCTCCTCTTGCTCGTAGGCCCAGCAGAAGAGGAGGATGTCCTGTAGCCACACAGATGTGAGCGTGTGAGCAAACCAAGCCAGTCCCTCTCACCAACCCCCACCCCCACCCCCCCGCCCAAAACGTCCACCCTGCGAGGACCCCGTCTCCATCACCGCATCCTGGGGAAGGGCTGGGGTGGAGGGGACACATCCATTGCACGAGGACCCCATCTCCGTTGCCACACCCTTGCAAAGTTGACACTTGTGGCGCAGCAGCAGGACCAGCCTCACCAGCTGGGGAGGGAGAGAGGCCCCTTGCTTTTTTTGCTGGCAGATCCTGGGCAGCACAGAGTGTTTCTCAAAGGGACCCTCCACCCAGGGCGTGCACCAGTGGGGCACATTCCCCCTCCATGCACACACACACACACACACACACACACACGGGGTCCCAGCGCCTGCCCCACACCACCTACCGAGATCTCCTTGCCCATCCCGATCTGGCTGAGGTTGGGCTTCATCCCTCTTCCCACCTGCCAGATTATTGCCTCCGCTGGCTGCGTCTTGAAGGGCCATTCCCGTGCGTGCAGCTCATACCAGATTGTGCTATTGGGAGACAGCGGAGATTAGAGATGGGGGGAGCATCCCGGGGAGGGACATCTGGCCATTGCACCCCCGTCCACCATCTCTCCCTGCTCCAAAATCACCGACATCCAGGAGGTGCTTCACCCCAGATATGACACCAGAAGTGCTCAGCACTCATTACAGAGCTATCTCCGCTCCCATTTTTCAGATGGGGAAACTGAGGCTGTCGACTTGACCAAGAGCAAGCCACCGGCGTGCCACAGCCCCCTGTTTACACCAGGGAAGAACCTGGCCTGTGAGCAGGAGGATGGAGGTTGGTGGGAAGCACGGGCAGAGCCGCCAGCCAGCCTCTTACACCAAGTGGGAATCTCCCGCCGGGCCGCAATAGCACTTGGCCCCGCTGCCCACGGAGCAGCTTAATAGATGATGTGGGGGGTAAATACATAGTCCAGCTGCCAGGCTGGCATTTCTGACTCTGCCACCTGCTCCAGCTGTGCCGGGCAGCGAGCACCAGGGAAGGATGATGCCCGAGCAGTCACTTTTGCTCCGACTTTTCCCTTTTTCTTCTGCAAAAGGCACTTCAAGCCACAAAAAATCATCCAAGCCATGGCGTGAACTATCCCCGGCGCCCTCACTGGGTGATGGCACACATGAGCCCCCAGCCATCTGCCACTGCACCGCTCTTATTGCTACGCCAAGCCCTCCTTCCCGTGAGGACTCCCAAATCCAAGGGAATATCCCAAAACAAGGGCGTCTCCAGCTGAGCCAGCGGCCGCCCCCACGGTCCTCCACCCCCGCTACCACCTGGGAGTTTTGCATCCTCATTTTCTGGCACTCAGAGGCTGAATGAGCTCCGACACCCACAGCGCTGGTCCTGATTTCCAAGGCAAATTCCCCGGAGCTGCTCTTCCCTTCAAGGGATTCCATCACGGCCAGTTCAAGCAGCAAGAATCGGGGTTAAAATGGCATCAGGGTGGAAAAATCTGGTGGAGGGGGGTCTGATAAGTGAAAGATCACTCTCAGATGGGGGACTCCTGGATTTTGGAAATCAGCTCTCCCGATTTTGGAAAAATATGCACCATTTGGCAGTAAATCTCCGAAAATTTGAATAAGCTGAGATACCAATAGGTGCTGCAGGCGCAGAAGAATTGGGGGGCTGGAAAAGGGCAGGCCCAGTGGCACAGGGTGAGATACTCAGATAGGAGTGAGGATTTTGAAGGTGCCCGAACCCATCAAATGCAGTTAAACTCAAGTTTCTAGTTGGGAGTTTGGGGCTTAATTTTTCATCTTTCAGATGCATCCAAAATATTTGGGCTGTGTTTCCTGGGGTATGGATGGTGCTACGGAGAGCGGTCTGCTGTTCCATCTCCCTTTGCACAAGACGACCACGCATCTAATATTAATTATTGCCATGATCTCTCAGGTTTCGGCAAGCATATGCTGCCAGCCTCAGCCCCCTACTCCGCACCGCCCTCACACATGCTTTAATTTAACATTTCTGTCTTCTTTAAACAATCTTTTCCTCTTTCTGTTGCTGATCCCCCAAATCCCTAGAGGGAAGCAGCGATGGTAATAACCCTCTAGATCATCTGTGAGCCTCCCAGGCTCAGCGGAGGGCAGCAGAAACAAGAAAGAGGAAAAATGTGGGAAAATCTTTTAATCTTTTAAGGAAACTCGTGCTTTACATAAGGGCAGAGTTCACACTCAAAAAGAAAAAAAAAAAAAAAAAGGAAAAACTAAGTCTAAGTAACCAGCTCTTACTTAGTTCAATACAATCCCTTAATTACTTCTTTATTTTTGTGCTAAAGTTATACCTCAGGGCTGGGGAAAAAAAAAAAAAGAAAAAAGCCAGACCCTTTCAGCTGTAATTACTGTGGGTTTGATGGAAATATCGCCTCCGATAACAGCCCCACACATGCTAATCCCTGCAGCCTTTAAGGTATCCACCAGAAAATTAATCTGCTGGGTCCACCTCCAGAAAGGTTTTATCAGGGCGTGACTGGGCTCCTGCCATAAGGGATTCTTGCTTTCAGATAAACGGCAGGAGCGATGAGCTGGTTCGCTGAAGGAGACTCATCAATTCTCCTTTCCTTGGCCTTTTGGCATCTCCTCCCCCGGCAGCCCCGGCTCGCAGAGGCAGCCGCTGCCGCCAGCCCCTTTGAAGCCGGCTGGTGCGGGGAATCGGGGTGTTTGGGGGATCCCAGACCAGTGTCCCCAACCCTCTTCACCCCCAGCTGACACCCAGGGCACCTTCTCGTTGGTACCCGCCCCAGGAGGATGCAGGGGAGCGATTACGCCAGGCTGGCATCCCCGGGATGCTCCAGATCCCACTGCCCAGAGCCACCTTGGTCTGCAGATGAAACAGGAGGTTTTGGTGATTTAGTGGGGTGTTTAACTCAAAATTTCTTGAAGCAGGAAGGCGCTCCAAGCCTTGTGATGAGGATTCCCTCAGGCAGTGTGTGTGTGTGTGTGTGTGTGTCCCTCCCCCGGCACTGTGGTAAGCACTGTCCCCGTCCCCTCCTAGATGCTCAGGGCAGCTCACACCTGACACAACTGCGCCAGTTCTCTGCAGCCTGCCCACTTCGTGGGGACTCACCCCAGTGCAAAGACATCCGAGTGCTTGGAGAAGGGCAGCTTGTCCTCCTCGGTGTCCGGCGAGAGCTGACGGATGATCTCGGGGGCGAGGTGGCACAACCAGCCGTTCTGGATCCGCAGCTTGTTCTCCCTCCTGCCAAAACACAGCGCCGAAGCCATGGGTAAAGCGAGGGGGAACATCACCACCGCACCACCGGTGAGCAGATCCCCAGCCCTCCCACCCTCTCCCCAGGGCACGGAAGCCTGGTTTTCCCTACAGCATCCTTGCAAAGTCAGGTTTTAACTCTGAGAAATGCTGGCACAGTGGCTTCGTGCCTGTCCCTGCCAGGCTGCAGGGCACAATTCGGGCACAGGACGGTGGTGAGGTGTAGCTTTGGCTCTGCTGGGCTGGTGATGGGCATCCAGGGTCTTCCAGGGCCCTCTCTGTGACCATTGCACCTAAACACCTTAAAAGAGTGAGGAGCAAAGCGTTACCTGGGGTAAATCCCACCAGCGCTGACACCTGAGCTGGAGCCGCTGTGGTTTTAGCAGGAGGTTGGACTGGGGACCTCTAAGGGTCTCTTCTGACCAAACCCACCTTATAATAATGCCCTGGAAATCAGAGTTTTCAGGTGTTTGCCCCCAGACAGCCCCTCTAGCCCACCTTCATGTCCAATCCTCCCACACCATCACCCCTGGGAGCAGCCTGGCTTTGCTAGTCACCTGCCCCACGGCATGTAGTGGCCAATCCTTGCTGTGACATTGCTACCAAATCCCAGGCTGCCACCCAGGATTTCACTTCATCTTTAATCCCCCTCACCAGCCCCTCAGCTAGCCTCAGCCATCTTCTCCTCCTCAAGGTCCCCCTGCTCGGTACAAATACATTAGGCGCCTTTGGTCAACAGTTGAGGATGACATTGCTTTCTTCTTCATCCTTTATGTCCTGCAGCAGGCACCTAGGATGCACTGCTGGCTTAAAAAGTGTCTCCGAGCGGGGAAATGGGCAGTGACCGCCAGTGGTGGTAACACGTGAAACAGATTGATCGTGTGTCCGAGCCCAAATTTGGCACCATAGTTTTTCAGGAGGTAACAAAAACTGTCCCATGTCATGTCAGGCTAGAGAAGGAAGAGCTCGCTCGCTTGTGTCAAGGAATTTGTCCCTGTTTGTGCTTTGATGACCTCCCAAAGATGCTAATGTGCAGGGGTAAGGGATGGTTGTGGGGTCATTTGTCCTCCTGAACTTCAGCCTGGGGCCAAAATCCCAGGGGACACCCCCCAGCTTTGGACTTCTCCATCCACCCCCAAGGCAGGATGACAAGCTCCCACCACAAACGCTGACTCCTTGGCTGGCTTTTCCCCCCATGGCCGCGTGCACGCAATGTGCACAATTCCAAGACGACGCAGTCCGGATCCTCCTGGCCACAAAGCCATCCCCAGCCCCCGGCATCACCCCCGGGTCTGGCAGCGTTCGGAGGAGGAACCCCCTCCCTAGGGAAAGATGCTGCCAGTGCAGGGAATCGCTGATGAAGCTTCCATGCCCCCCTCTCGGGTCTTGACAGCTCCTCTTCACCCTGCTGCGTCAGAGCCACCGCTGCAATCAGCGGCTCCGGAGAGGCACGGACCCTCCGGCCCCAGGAGCCACAGGCAAGAGCACTTTGGCGCAGGGAGGAGGCTTTCAGCTCCCCAGCTGGCTCCTGCCACCATCCTCCAGCCCTGTGTGGCTCTTAATTACAAGGCAGCGTTAAGCACCGGGGCAATTAGAAAAGATGCGGAGGAGCTCACTCATCCTTCCCTGGGTCTACAGTCTCCATCTCCAGGCAGGCAGCGGGGAGCAGGACGCAGCAGGCAGCACTCAAATCTGCTCCTCCACCCTCACCAAAACTGGGATCACACCTGGGGATTTTATTTTTGCTCACTCAAGTCAGCCAGTGCTGTGATTTCCCACAAGCAGCGTTCAGGCTCACCTCGGGATGCTCTGGGGACCAGATTTGTCTCCACAGCTCCTGCGTGAGCCCAGCCTCATCCCTCTGCAAAGCTCACGTACGCCCAAGCACGCAGCTACAGGTTTACCAGCTTCCAGCAACGAGGGCTGAGCTTTAATGCAATCCCAAACATGGCTCAATTACAGCAATTTGAGGTTTCATGACAAAAGTTTGCCTGACTTCATAACCGACCTGGCCACTTCCACCAGCAGAAAGCAGCACGACCAGCCAAGCATCTTCTAAACCCACTGAAGGACAAGCCAGCCCCAAGGCAAAAGCAAGAGCAGAAGAGCTCTTCAGACCACTCAAGGCCCACCTCACGCTCCTCCTAATTATAAAGCAGCCCTACCAAGCCAAACAACATTTAAATAAAGGAGAAATAAATCTAATTTCACCACAACAACACACCGCATTATGAAGTCTCTGCAAAAAGTATTTTAGTTGTGATAGTCATCTCGTTTTTCAGCAGCGCAAGCATGTCATGGCACGGATGGACACTGCAAACTGCTTGTGCTAGATGCTTTCATGAACTCAAGGTAAGCTTGGTCTAGGAGGATGAGGGGGGATTTTTAAGCCATGTCTTTTTTGAACCTTAGTGAAAACAGGCCAGTTTGTATCTCTCATTCACATCTGAAGCAACATCCCCGTCCCTAACTTGTTCTGCAAAAATTGCTCCCTCCTCCATACGTGCTCGTCTGTGCAAGCCTCTGAGGACCCCAAACTAGGTTTTATCATTCTTCTTCCTCTGAGAGAAACCATAACCGGTAAAAAAAAATACGCAGAGAAGGGAAATCAGACCTGCAGACACTTGCTACTTCAAAATTCATTGTGACTGATGCTTGTGGATTCCCAAAGCCACCTCTCAGCTCTCCACCAGCAGTCCAGGGCAGGTACACTGAAAGCTCCTCAGAGCAAAAAGTTGCCCATCTTTTCCATTTTTCTAGCAAAATCCTGCTCATTCTTGTCCAGCCTTGCATTTCTGACCACCCCCACGTTGCCATCTTTCCTCTCCTGAACAATCTCCTGGACTTTACCCTGCAGATAACACCCCAATCTTGAGCAGAGACAGACACTCATTGTTCTGCCCCATCGACACCTCATTTCTCCAGCCTCTTGTGTCTCCCATTTTATCTCTAGAGCATCTCTGACCTTCCCAGTAAAGGTCCCTGGCAAAATTTGACCATTTCTGCCCAAACCCTTTTACCACTGCTGGAATGAGCTGCAACCTCACCCAGGCAGGCCCTAAGTCCCAAACCCCTTGCCCAGCTGCTAAACCAATGCTGAAGCTCACTTCTCTGCTATGGAGAGAGCAGCAGCATTGCTGGATTTCTTGGACTTCTTAAGCTTTTGGCTAAGTTTGTGCTAAAACCAGATGATATTTATACAAGCAGAACGGAAAGGCTGGCTGCCTGCCTTGACACGAGAGGTGTGGGATGGAGAGAAGCGGCCATCGCCTTTTCCTCTAATCCCTTGACTTCGTCACACAGGAATTAGAAAAAAATATATCGTTTCCCCAGTGCATTTTATCTCCTCAGCAATTTTGCCATAAAGTGATGATCAGCCACGACAACCTCTCCAGCAACAAACCCTACCGTGTGGGGTGATGGGGACCAAGAGGGCCAGGAGGTGAGTACCGCGCAGCCGGAGGAAACCTGCCTGAGCTGCCGGCGCCGATAACGCTGCCCTTGGCCCGTGCTGCTTCTGACACAAAGAGTCTAGTGAAAAAGCATGCTCCCGCTGGGAAAAGCCAGCAATGCTCTTGTTTTTAGTTTCAACAAAAAAGGAAAATAGAATCCTTGGTGTTTTTTTCCCCTCTTCTGTTTCCTTTCCCCCCCTTTAGCTTTGCTTTTCTTCCTTTCCACGGCTGCTGAAACTCTTTGCTCTGCCATGCCTACAGCTGGAAAACCTCCCAAAACACTGGGAAAAAAACAAAACAAAACAAAACAAACAACATTTAATAAGGAACATTTACCAAATGGGCTTGATTCTAAACCCAAAGAGACCAAAAAATGTCACAACGCTGTAAATGTCCTGAGGTTGGCTCTAATTTTCTCCATGTCTTGCTCCACGCCCTAGCTCAGCACAGATACCATGGCCAGATGTCTGCAGCACCCGAAAGGTCACCAGAGTGGCCAGGGGACAATCACGGGGACGAGACTGCTCGACCTGGGCTGCCACGCTGGCTGCAGTGCTCATCAGCCCAGAGGCAGGAGAGGAGGCAGATGCCGGGGGATTATAATAACAGTGTCAGGGAAAGGTCAAGGAATGAACCAGCTTTGCTGTTCCTGGTGAAATGGAGCCTGAGGAGCATCTCCCAGATGGCTGCAGGGTGGTTTGGACATGGAAACGATGCATCCTGTGGGAAGAGGTTGGGTCCAAGAGACCCTGCCCTGAGCCAGATCCTGCCTCCCTCAGCCAAACTATCGGAGACTTGCACGCAGCATCATGCTCCTTCCTACCGACAAAAAGCAACTCTGCCTTCCCAACACTAGGTTTAAAAACTAAACGAAACCAAAACAAGGCACGACTCTTGCACCCAAGGAGCAGAGCAGTTTGTTTTCGCTGCTCGGTGCTGAGCCCAGAACCACCCTGCTGTGGAAATCCCAGCCCTCTGGGGTTTTGCACTGCAAACCCATCACTGGCGTTGAGCATGGAGCTGCGTTTTGGGGAGCACCACTTGTGCTCTGCAGGAGCTACACGTCTTGCTCTTTTCCTAAAGCAAACCTCCTCAAAAGCAAAATCCCGGGAGGTGAGATTGTGCAATACCTGGGGCAGCCCCAGGACATTCAAAGGCACTTTGTCCTCAAGACTAACGGGGCTGCAGACCCAGAAAGGCACTTGCACGGGAGGTTTTGGGGCTTGGGGAGGAATGCCAGTATTTCCAGCACACCGTGTCCTACCTGCCTGCTTGGAGAACTCCCGAGATGCTGAAGAGGCCGAAGTCTGTGATCACCACCTTCCCGTTGTCGTAGAAAACATTTTTTGACTTGAGGTCCTTGTGGAGGATCCCCTTGGCATGCAGGTAGCCCATTCCCTAGGACGGAAGAGGCAGAAAAATATCCCAAAATTGAAAAAGCAGCACAGACAGTCAGGATAACGCCAGAGCAGGGGCAGCCCCACAACTTCCAAGCCAGGGCGAGCATCCCTGTGCCACAGCGGCATGTCCACACTTCTGAGATACAGCTGGGCCACAGCCAGAGGCTGCATGTCCCCAAATGTCCCTGCAGAAAGGGCAGGTGTCCAGGGGGGTCCCTGGCTTGGGACGGGCATCGGGTGGTGCTCACAGAGGGTGACGGGATCGTGGTGTGGGCACCTCAGCTGCGACAGTGCCCACTCGTCTTCCTGACTCGTTGGTTATGCACGAAAAATTAGCGGCAAACCAAACTGGCAATCACTTTCCTGAAATCCTCTGCTGAGAAATTGATGATGATGATGTTTTCGCCCTCATTCTCTTTTGGGGCTGGAAGCAGAAGGATAATAAGTCAAAGCTCTCCATCGCCACTATCACATACCGTGGATGAGCCATTAGTGCTTCCTATGTGCACACCGACACCATTAGCCTGGAAACAAGCGCCTCGCGGGAGTCCTGCCTTAATTCTTTTCCCCTAGGAAAAGCTACTTGGTGGTTAATTAAAATTATCGCTAATGATGCAAAAAAAGGCCATGGGTGGGAAATCCAAACTCCCCTGCACCGGGCTTGTTTAGCATCGGCAAATCAAGCAGACTGCCGACAGCTCCATGTGGCGGACGTTCAACTCAACAGGATAACCAGTTCTGGGAACAGGGAGGGTGGTTAAAGCCATTTATCCTGACTTCAGCAGAGCTTTTGATGTTGTCTCACTTTTCATTCTCATAAGCAGACTAGGGCAAATTGTCTAGAGAAGCTATTGAAGGATAAATACCAAATGGGCCAGCAAACTGTTGCTTAAGAGCAAATATCAGTTGTCTTTCACTAACACGGGGGGATTTATTAACTGGATTTCCATGGGATCCATCCTAGGTCTGATCTTTTCGAGTATTATCATTAACCACGCAGGCAGTGGAACAAGAATATATTTTTAAGTTTGCAGCCAGTGTGGAGCTGGGAGGCACAATCCAAATTCAGAAACAATCTGGAAAAATTGGGAAAGCAACCTGAAAACCCCACAAATACTCAGATGCAAATGTCCAGGATGTGGTAAAAAATCCTGAAAGTACCAAGGACTCACTAGCAGCACAGACCCTCAGGGCTCTGCTCCAGCAGTGGGAAAGGCTGGGGACAGCCAGGGACAATGTGCTGCTGGGGACAGCGAACACCCCAACCCAGCAAGTCATTGGGTTTAACTGCACCCCTCAGCAATCAAATCCTGAAGAGCCTCTGCTAAGGGATGCTGGAAGAAGAAAAGGATTTGGGGCTGCAGCTGGCCCTGAGATGCCACAGCTGCAGCTGGATGCCAGGACCATTCCAGGCACTGGAATTAATTAGGGGTCTCTGGGTCCCAGCACATGAAATAATTATGAGGTTTAAAAATCTGCTTTAAAATGTCACTGTCACCTTCACAAAGTGCCAGTGTTGTGCAAGCGACAGCATTTCAATGCCATGAGCCTGTTCCTCCTGCAAGGTGCAGTGCAGGGCCCTGAGCATCCATCATAGGACAGGATGAGACCCAGTGCCATGGGGATGCTCTGCAGCCCCCTCCCATCGGCCAGGGTTGACAGGAGCTCAGAGCAGGCAGCAGGGACTTTGCACCCATGGTCAAACAGCATGGATGGGAACACATCTCCCATGCAACCATCAAACACAGGTAAGCCTTTGCTGAAGGCATTTCTCGCGGAGATCTCGACAAACTCAAATCCCTCGCCTTGCTCCACAGGGCATCACACAGATCCCACTGCAAATTCCAGCCCTGCCGCCTTCACCCCCAGGATGATCTGTGAGAAAACACTCTCAGCCCAGTAATGCCTTAATTTGCTCGGCTGCCCGGCGTGCATGAAAAGCCAGCTCCCTCTGCCGGCTTCACTTCTTAAATAAATTAACTTTTGCCTCCGGAGGATCACATCATAATGAGAGCTCTTGCACCTGCTAATCCAATAAACTTAACAGCTCTCCTGTTGCATACAGGGACTCAAAGGATAAAGTCAAACAACTGCCAGGTAGCAGAGCAGAAGCCTCTGTCATGGTCCTGCCTCCAGCTCCTCCAGGCAATGCTGCCCCAAGCCCAACCAAATCAAGATGTTGGGGTTTTCCTTCTTTTCTCCACACCAGCTACCTCCAAGTCCACTAAAACATCCTTAATGTCTGCTGATGGCTGACATGGAGGGGCGGGAAGGCAGAGAAACTGCTCCTCCTGGAGCACGCCAGCAACGGGCCGTGTGTCCAGGACACAGCACCGGGGCAGCTGCGACTGGGATGTGATGGACCTTTCCCGTGAGCAGGAGCTGCTGTCTTAAAATCCCTCTGGAGCACAGGCAGAGCCTGGGCTCAGCACCCATGTTGCACAGATTTGCCTTTGAACTTCTGCTAACTCCTACAGGAACCTGGGTCAGACACAAAGCCCCTTCACCCTGCAGCCCATTGCAGCAGGAGCACCCAACCCCATACTCCCAAGGAGGAGAGGAGATGCAGAGAAGTGGTGGAGCTACAACCACGTCTACGTGCAGTTGTGCTCTTTTGCTTCAGCAGATCTCGTGGGTGACATTCTTCATGGTGATGCTTTCGTCTCACAGCTCCAGTGACGCTTCCCCAGTGCTGGCGATGTCTCACAACACCACGAGAATTTGAGGTTTCCGACCCATTCCTAATGCACATGCAGCTGCAGAAGACAACGGTCTCTTAGCCGAGTACTCGACACCCCAACCCACATGAAGCAACTCAACCCACACAGAGAAAGGGGCTGAACCGAGCCATTACCGCCCGCTGTGAACATCTGGGAGGTGAGAGCCCTGAGCACAAGCGTCGAGGTAGTCGGGGGGAAAAATAGAAGGCAAACCTATGGGATGCCTCAAACATTTCCTCAGTGGGAAAAATCCATCTTTAAGAAGTGGAAAATACTGATCAAAAATAGAAAGGAAGCAAAGGCCCTCAGCTGTCTCAGACACCCCAAATTCAGCCATAGCTTTGCCACTCCAAGACGCCCCTTGCAACGCTGGCTCAGCAAAGCAGTTAAACCTATGCTCAACTGTCAGCTCCTGCCTGGAGCCCAGAGATTTTGGGGGAATTTACAGAATTTTAAAAACAGCATGCACCTTGCTAAATCTGGGTGTAAATAAATACAAAATAGGCAATATAAGAAGAGACAGCACGAGGACAAGCAGGGGAGTGGCATCATTCAGGATATATCTGCAGAACATATTCTATTTTATAACATGAATTTGAATACCTAAGGGGATTTAAGATCTGCTAGAAAAACTTCTTTTGTTTTTTTTTGTTTTGTTTTTTTCCCCATAGAAATATATTAAACATGAGCTCAGCCTCAGATGATTTGGTCTTGCTGTGGGCCAGAGGTGCTGGCTGACCTTGAGCCGGACACAGAACTGGTGTCGTGGCTCCCATGGTAGGACACATGCCAATTACTTTTGGTATCATTTGGTGTTAAATATGTTTGGAACCACGCTACAACCCTACTCTGGCTGATGGCTCAACACGTCCTGGGAAAACGAGCTGTTGCAGACACTTGCTGAGAAGCTTTGATGGCTCAGGACCCAACTTCCCAGCCACTTGACCCTGCCGTGTGAGGATCCTCCCCAGCATCTATTTACACGGTCGCGTCTGAAGTGTCAAAGATGCACTTTGAGTCATCTCTGTGAAAGGAAAAGCTTTTTTAGCTCTGAAAAATGTACACACACTCTGCCTCGTGGCACGCACAGCCCCCTGCCACAAGCACCACGGCACTGACTCCTTCAGGCACCTTGGCTGCAGGGATGCTTCCACTACAGAGACGTGGAAACCTCAGACCAACAGCAGATGTTTGGGTTTTTTTCCAAGAAGAGAGGAATATCCAACCAGAAACTCACTCACAGCAGCAAAGCTGGACTTAAACACCTGAGCTTCCGAGGGGGAAGAGGAGCTGTGACTAGGATGAGCCCCAAGCTCACCGCTGCACCCAGAGCCCACAGGAAGTCTTGGTGCCACCCCACTTCAGCTCAGCGTGGGTGAGGGAGGTCTAAGAGACCCGAATTTTAAAGCCAAGAGGTGCTGTCCTGCCCAGCCTCCTTGGCTTCTTCACTCCCGCTCCCCAGAGCAGCTTAGCTGGGCTCTCGGTCGGATCCGGACCCCCATCAACGCCAAGCTGCCCCCACACCATACCGTACCTTCACAATTTCTTGTGCTATCTGCCTTGTCTTGTTGACATCCAGGACGATTTTGGCGTCTCTCACCACTGAGTAGAGAGTCCGTCCTTTACACAGGCTGAAAGAACAGGAAAAGAGAGGAGAAAAACATGGTTTATAAACCCCCGCCAAGAAACATCCCCAAATTATAAAGACAGCGGCTGTGGCAGGGAACTATAAATAACCGCAAGAGCTTTGGCTACATCTCAAGGCAGACTGGAGATTCAGCGAGGAAACTGGGGGCTCTCCCCAGTTTGGCACTTGGAGGGAGCTTGTGCTGCTCGCTGGTGCGTGCTGGTACCATCCCCGGGGGGCCAAGCCCCGTAAGGGGTAACCTGGGCTGGTTCCCGGCTCTCCCCCCATGTCCCAGCCACAAGCAAACCACCTGGTCCTCTTGCTTCAGACTTTTTGTGCAAAACTGGCCGCGGCTCCCCGCCTCTTCCCTCGGAGGATACAATACTCACAGATGTAATATGAGTCAAAAGAGGAAAGACAGGGAGGGAAAGGAAAAAAAAAAAAAAAAAACAACCAATGCACTGTACAATGTCCTCCAATTTTCCTTCTCGTACCAATTACAGTAAAATCTATTTACAGAGCCTTAATTACCAAAGGCAGCTGGAGGGGGAGGGGGGGGATATAAACCAATTAAAAATATATTGACATTTGAATATCATAATGGAGTACGTGGGTGGATGCTGCCTCAACTCCCGCCCACAAAAAAGGGCTTTTTTGCTTTTCTATATCCACCCACGCTCATTACAGACAACTTTAGAAAGATGAGACTGGATACCTGTGCCCGGGAAATAAAGCACCCGACACATCTCATTAAAGAGGGTTCGGTGACCGCAGATGTTAATTTGATCCTGTTCTAGTTAACAAATAAAAAGTTACAGGTTTGAATTCCTCTGCTTTTGCCCTGCTGCATCCTTGCTCATCTCCACCACTTTCCCCCTTGCCCATCTCCTCCAGCCCCAGGAATGCCAGCGTGGACCCATCTGGATTTGTCCCCTGGGAGATAAGGGGGTTTGCCCTTTTTGGGTGGAAATAACCAGCCTGAGCTGTGCCTCTTTGCAAGGGCTGGGGAGCATCACCCCGAGCCGCCCGCGGTGTGCCTGGGTACCATGTTGCTCAGACGGGGAGAGGGGACAGCTCAGCCCCCCAGCTTGGGCGAGGAAGAAGAGGCACACCAGGGGCAGCGATGCTCAGCACAGCCCTCCGGACGGGTGAGCAGCCCAGCCCCACAGAGACTTCCCCTGGGCAGCAAATCCAGAGAAATCGGGAACGCAACATCATGGTAAATCCCTGCTTTTATTTTTCACCTCGAGGCTGGCTCAGAGCAGTACGATGAGGCAAAACCCCCAGGAGGCTGCACCATGTTTTCCCTGGGGATACTGGAAATGGCAACAGCAGTCCCCCCAAACCACAGCGCGGTTGCCATTCCCCCCCCATTACCACAGGGCCAAGACCATCACCTGGATGCAAATAAGGTCCCCGTGAGCAATTAGCCCCCAAGAGCAGGGGTGTTAGAGGCTCGCCTCCAGAAAGTTGGGGAAAGTTGAGCTCTCCGCAGCTTTTTGGGGGATTAAACTGATTGGGATTGGGATAGTGGTTATGAGATTAAACCTTGCTTGCTTCTTCAGAAGCTCGCAGATACATAAGACCCTCCTGCTCCTAAACCAAAAGCTCCACATCTCTCCACGGGCACCGAGCACAATTTTCAGGCCAGGCTGCAAAGCAGGAACGGGACCAGTCCCATATCTCATGGGTTTTGAAAAGAAAACAGCATCCTTTAAAGTACATTGTCACAGGTTGTGTTGGAAATAGCCTTGCCAGACATGAGCTGTGGTGGGGATCTTAGGGCATCTTCATACCCGTGCAACTGCCTCCTCAGTGATGGTTCTCCTTGCTCAGGTGTCTCAGCACAACCCTGAGCACACCAGCTCGACTGCAAACCCGAGGCACCCGCATTTACAAACGCAACCTTCCTCTAACTAAACCAGCCGCTCCCCATCTTCTGCAATAGTTTGGCTGCAGTCAAATATGAATTTGTCTGAAGATTAGGATCCAAGCACTTAAACTCCTACTTGGGAATAAGTGATAAAGAAAACCCTTGGGCTTCTGCAACCGGAATGAAAGGGTGCAAAATAATGACAGACATGAATTCTTTTTCCACCACCTTTACAGTGTGAAGGGGTTTTGCACTAATTTGCTAAATAACCCTGTAAAGCTTTAAGCTCTGCAGTGCAACAGGCTTTCTGCCGCCTCCCATGACCTGGCTGTGCACAAAGGAGTTCCTGCAGCCCTCCCCGCTCCCCAGAGAAAACCATTCCAGAAAGTTGCTCGTGGTCTGCATTAGTCATGAATCAACATTGCAAATGCAATGAATAGATTAGTGCTCGAGCGGGGTTTGACTTCAGCCCTAAAGTGAGTTAAGATCAGCTGTTTTCCTGGAAAAGGGCTGTTTAGAGAAAAATCCTCAAATTTCTGCCTATCTGAACTGCAGAGATAACCCCGGGAGTGGAGCCCGCAGCCCTCTTCGGACGAGATTGCCATCTCTGCACTTCATTCACAGAGGGGCCGCGTTAAAGGAGGCAGCGGACGCAGCCGGCGCGAGCCCCGGCACAGGGGGAGCGGCCGCCGCTCAGACCCAGCGGGGTGGCCCCGGCACACGGTGAAGCACCGCGGGCTTGGGACGTGCCACCGCCACTCCTCAGACCTCGGTAGAGCCACCGAGGCAGCCCAGGTGCCTCTCTCCTCCCCTTGATGAATAACTCCTCCGAATGAATTCAACTAGCAACCGCTGCACCGGTATTTGTTAAGAGTTTTCTTGCTGGATAAGGAGCTGCCAAAGCAGAGATAAAGCCCGGTTGATACCTATTATGCAGCACCTGAGCCCATTCAGCCACCACCTGCAGAACCTTTTCATGGCAGAGCTCAACAATTTCGCTTCTTCTCGTTCCTCGTCTGCCGTCAATCGCTCCCCATTTGGGCAGGAGCGGCAGGCACAAAGCGCGGCTCCTGGGGCACGCACATCATCTTCTGCCTTTCCTCTTCAAGAGGTCTACGCTGAACCACGGCATTGAGGTACCCAGCCGGCTGCGAGCGAGAGATGCTCGGATCACAAGGCCAGAGCCCGCCTACGCTTGACACCAGAAACAAAGGCAGACGATTTGCTTCTTCAGACAGATCGCGGCTTATTCACCGCTGAAGTACGCATTCGTAAACAAATACTTGTCTTCTCCCCCTAAACCTCTCCATCCCATCCGTCAGCAGAGCAGGCAGGTTGGTGACACGTGCCCCAGCATCCTGCCAAGCGCCAGCCAGAGCTGAGAAGGCAGCAGGGACAGCCTGGCCAGGCAGGTTGGGACGATGCAAAGGTCCTTCCAGGGGTCCCCACCTCGACCCACGGCGCAACCTCAGCTCACAGCTTTCCCCGGCACTAGGACAGTCCCAGCCCCACGGCCCCATCCTGCTGCAGATGCAACTCTCTATTCAAAATGAGTTTTTGAAGTGTTCAGCCAAGCAAGCCAAATCCCAAATTGCTTTATAAACACTCTGCATTTCACCAGCGTGGGCTGAAGACATCAGCAACGGGAGCAAAGCCAAAGCGACTTGCAGAGGAACAATTTGGGAGGGATGAGTGAGGAAGAGCTGGAGCACTGCCTCTGGGTATTTTTGCCGCTCGATGTGAAAACAGCCTCATCCATCCCCCACCCGTTGGGGTTTTTTCCCCTCCCCCCACAATATTGAGGGTCATCATCTCTACATTGATGGCCATCACCTCTGTAGGGTTGGAGATCTCAGCCTGGCTCCTACGCCAGGAGCAGCAATAAAGCCAGAGGTGATGGTTCGGCGGTTGCACGCAGGTCGCGAGGCTGTTACTTACCGCTGTTTTGTGCTTTTCTTCCCTCTGCCCAACCATCCACATAAATGCCCATTAAATTAAATAGGATCATTTGAACACCCCAAAGTGATAAATGCCAGACCCCAGGAAGCTCATTACTTACTAGTATATTGATTTATGGGGGAACCAGCTCAGATACCATGGTGATAGCTGGCACTATACACTCAGGGGAGACACAGAAGGAGAGAGTGGGAATTAATAATAAGTACTTTAATATAAAAATACCTCTGCTAGTAGGTTACATCTGTGCTTGAGGAAAGACAGAGCAAAGGGCGGGGCTGCTCGGATGCTTCCACATCCCCCGTCAGTTTACTGATTTTTACTATTTCACAGAAAAGAAGAAATCTTTGGGGAATATTAAGAAAGATATGGCCAGCTGGGACTTATTTGATTTCATTTGAGCAGGCCTAGCCACGGCAGGGAGGGGAAGAACAAGTACTGCACACGTCTGCACGTGCCTGAGTTATTTGGGAAGTTTTCAAGCTATTTCCATATATTGGCTAGTTTTTCTCTTTTACTGACGTCTGGCAATTGTGCTTTTGCAACTAGACAGCCACAAATGCGTTTCACAAAATGGAAAATTAAACAAGGCTGGAAGAGCAGCAAAGGGAGAGGTTTGGGTTGATTTTTATCCCTAGGCTTTGTTTTCCTCAAAATCAATAAGAAGTATCACACCCTTGACACATGCTCTCCCTGCTACGTCAGCGTGAACCAAGCAGAACGGTGGCACCACCCAACTTGAGATCCCCAAGCCCTCTGCACCTAAACACCACCCCGAGGACAGTGGGGACAGCCAGCCGGGACAACAGGGGTCACACTGACATGAGCTGCAATGAGTTTGTTAGGACTCAGTCTAAGGAAAAAGCTGGCCTACGTTGGACACCACACCTATATTCTTTTTTTTAATTTTTTTTTTTTTTTCCTCTAATTAAAAGCTTGGAGGTGGGGAGAAAGGCTTGGCTGGTTCCTGGGCCAGCTATCCCCACTGGGATGCCAGTGGCAGCCAGTGCTATCAGGGCACCAGGTCCCCCACAGCTCCACCAAGGGATGCCCAGGGCTGTTTTCACTGGGATTTACCACCCCCAAAACCTCCCAGTGAAGCGAAGCAGCTCTTCTCTGAGCCACACAACCCCAGCACCCCAAGATTTAGCATGGAAATGTTCCAGCCCCAGGAC